CAGAACAGAAGAAAGCAGTGTGTAAAAGGAAAGGCCAAAGAACTAGAGATTGTTAACCCTAGGATACTACTTCAAGTTCAACATATTACAGTTATTTCTCCATAGGCTAATCTTTGAGAAATTTCTCCATGGTCCAAATATACCCATTTCTAAAGTGTGGATGTTGGACAATGTCCAGAGTTTAGATAATTTACAGCTGAAAGAAATAATTAAACATGTAAACACAGGCCCATTAGATTGGTCATGTTCACTTTATAATGTTTCCAAAAATAAAAGGACAGTTTTTGCGGCACATACAGTTCGATTTGTGGGGGCTGTTGCCATGCACAGAGTACATTATTCATTTGGCTAAAAGCAGACATGAACATTTGTTTTCACCCTTTCTCTTATCTGGCATTTTTATTATACTTCTTGTTTTAAAGAATTGATTTTGTTTAATTGTCTGAAACCATCATGCACACAAACGCTGTATGCTTTCAGCGGTCCTTATCAACAGCATATCCACCCCACTAAATTACAGAATTATCTGACTCATCAGGACAGAAACAACATATCCTCCAGACAGTAAATTGAAAAAAAAAGCAATTTTCCCATCTCTCAGAAAGATAATTGATCTGATTTTGCTGTCAATGCTACCATCACTCACTCTATCACCCAGACTTGAAAACTTGAAATTATTTTTTACTCTCCCCACTTTTCATCTCCCACACAGTCACCAACTCATAATGAATTTCCTTTAATAATGTCTCTTCTATCAACTGCTTCTACTCCAATGAAGTTCGAGTTCTTTTTATCTCAGACCTGGAGGACTATAATATTCTGTTTCTCTTAATGACAGGTACAGGGTTTCTTTTATTATAAAAATAATATAGGCACATTACAGGCAATTTGGAAAATTCAAAATAGTAGACAGAATAATTTCGTTACCCACATTTTGCTGCCTGGAGATGATCATTCATTGTGACCCACTTCCTTCCATCGTTTTATATATATAAATACATTGATATTTTCATAAAAGTTACTATTATAACACACATTATGCTTCTTTGTCATATTATGACACTAAATGCTCTGAAAATCTTATTTTTTGAATTGGCCATTATTCATGTGCCACTGGTGTCTAATATTTCACGTTGGAAATAAATGCTGCCTGAGCCATTCTTGTGCCATTGTTCAATTTCCTTAAATTCAATTCAAATTTCCTTACAATCAATTTATAAAGGTATAATTACAGGATCAAAGACTCTTTTTAAATTTCACCCAACTACCTCCCAGAAAGGATATGTAAATAGAAGATTTTCTATGCTTATCAATGCCAGTTCGTTCCCTGTTGAAAACTGGATATTATCTCTTTTTTTCTTTTACTTTTTAAAAAATTTATTTTTGATGATGATTACATGGTACATCAGGGTGGGAATGATCAAGGATTAGGGAAAAGTGGGTGAAATTGTTGTTTCCAGGGATATTATCTTTTTATAAATTTGTTAGGATGGAAATGAACATCTCATCGAATTTTTGGTTGGTATGTCTTGTATATATTAGTGAGTCCAAATATGTTTGCACATGTTTTGTATCAAGGCATTTTAACTAGTGTCCATCGTGTTAAGAGGGGTAGCAGATTTAATTAAATGCCTTTTGGGTTCTAGCATTTAGGTTAATGTGGAAAACCACAGTGGAAATTAGAAATAGTAGGGTCTGAGATGAATTGGTGTGTATTTTGCCCAAGGTTTCAAATACCACACTGACCAAGCACAGTACCTACTGTGGTGAGTTCAGGCCTAAGTTGCTAGTTTGCTGCCATGCTACTTGCTTCCCTCTTGAATTCATTCCTTGCAGATTGCTGTCATAATATTCCTAATATTTTTCTATCTAAAACTATTACTGGATTGGCACTTAGCTTTCCAATTACGACAAAGCTTAAGACATCTGTGTTCCATATTGGGGTGCCTAGGGTTCACTTCCCAGCTGTGGCTCCTGACTCAAGCTTTCTTGCTAATGCAGACTCCCACAAGAGGTTAACAGTGATGATTTAAGGAACTAGGTTCCAGCCAAGAACCTGGGAGATTTGGAATGAGTTCCTGGCTCCTGCCTTCATCCCAGCCCAGCCCCAACTGTTGGGGCATTTGGGAGGTGAACTGACACATGGGAGCTCTCCTTCTCCTTCTCCCCATTTGTCTCTATGTCTCTGCCTTTCAAACTGAGAAGTTCTCCATAATGTGGGACCCAGATATTTTTCTCAGCACTATCCCACCCTGTATTTGGTATTAAAACAGACCACTTAGAAGACAGTAGGGTCCTTGAAGACAAGCACTCTGTCTCATGAGAGGGAGAAAGAGAATACAGGACAGGCAGAACTGGGTCAAATCTTGTCTTACCACAAACCACATCTAAGTTATTGAACCTGATTGAGGTTCCATTTTATCATCTGGAAAACAGTATTAACAGCACCTAATCCAGAAGGGGTTGTGAGGATTCAACAAGGTAATATAACCAAAACACTTAAGATACTGCCTGGCACAAGGTTAGAATTGTTAAGAGGATTTGCACATTTCCCAACCTCCAGTGTCAATCACAGTAGCTGCTGGAATGAAGAAACAGAACAGGAAAAGTATCTATCACAATAAAAGTAGCCAACAGATTACCTTACCAGGATAAGGATGACCTGTGGGCAGATTCCTGGGACTCACCCCTAGATCTGCTGAATCTGAAATTTCTACAGACAAGACTCCAAGAATTCATATGAGCGTACTTAAAAAAGTTCATGGAGAAATGAAAATAAAAGTATCACTGTACTTTGGTACAAAATAAATATACATGGGAAAGGGACATTAAGAAATTTGCATGCATTTCAAACATTTTGCACTGCAATAAATTCATACTTTACAAATTTATTCTATATAATTGAGGTGAGAGGAGAGGTATGTCTCATCTGCTGTTTCACTCCCCAAATGCCTGCAATACCCAAAGCTGCACCAGGCTAATGTCAGGAGCTGGGAACTCAATCCATATTCCCAGAGATCCAAGTACTTGAACCACTACCTGCTGCCTCCCAAGGTGTGCATTTGCAGGAAGGTGGAACTGGAAGCAGAGCTGAGACTCAAACCTAGGCACTCAGCTCTAGGACATGGGCACCATAACTCCTGAGCCAAACACCTACATCTAAGCTCACACTTGGAATCCCATTTTCTCACAAACCTTGAAAGTACCCGTGTATTTCGTACAGGCACTCCAGTTAAATGTAATTCAACTGGAGAAATGCCAGTTGCCATAGTCAGCCCATTTATAGTGGACAGTCTCCTTATTTAGGCTCCTAACTTCTTGACCTACCTGCCCAGGGGTGCTCCATCCCCAGGCTCAGGTAGGGCTAGCCACCATTTGTCCAGACGGCTCAATGAAGTGATTGAAATGAATCTCATTCTGGCAGTGTAGCTGCCTCCTTGTCTTCCTGCCTCAATCAAATTATCATTGCTGCTGTTGTGAATTATTCACTAAGAATTATTTTGAAAATCACCATCACCAATAACACTCATCATTACCACTTATTAAGCACTCACAATGTTACCAGGCATGCTAAGCAATTTCCACACCAGGAGGGTGCTATCCTTACCTCTGCTTTACAAATGGGAAAACTGAGTCACAGAGAGACTAAGGAGTTACTCAAGGTCAAAAAGACAGTAAATGACACAGCAGAGCCTGGAATCCAGACAATATGACTCCAGAGCCCAGGCTATTATCTAGTACACTGGACTACTTCTCTAAATTAACTGCCCTATGTTTGCTATTACTAATTTAGGACATACAAAACGATACTGATATTTCATTTTGGGTCTCTTTACTTCATTAGAATGAATGTGTTTGTCATAGGAAACTCAGACCCTTTTGTTCCCATGTCCTGGGTTTTTTAGTTATAAATTCTAGTGCGAGAGTCTGTAGGAAATCAACTCTAACAATTGGAGTGGGCTGGTTTTCCAAGCAATGGGACAAATCAAATGCATTTCAGTTACCTACCCTGTCCTTACACTTCTCCATGTCAGCTTTTAAATACTAAGGCAGAAAGCATCCTTATTAGGCTGGTGTCATAAGGAAAGAAGAAGGCTCCTTTACCTGCATATTTTGACAAATTATGTTCTCTGTTGCTGACAGAGAGAGGAACCCGGTGACCTGAGATGGGCAAAATATTCTGAGGACTGCTTAGTTGACATGTGTGGCCTGAGAGCCATTTCAAACCAGTTCTTTAATTTTTTTGGTAAACTATAGTTTCTTGAAACATACCCCAACATGATCAACCTTGCAATTATGATGCTAAGTGAAATAAGCCAAACACATAAAGGATTAATATTGCATTATTCTTCATATACAGTCTACAAGAGGCAAACTCAGAGACAAAAAGAGAATGGACAGTGGAATGGCCAGCTTTTGCCTGGAATTAGAAAAAATTCCAGAGACAATGTTTACAATGTTGCACAACATTGTAAACATAGTTAATATCACTGAGCTGTACACTTAAAATGCTAGGAAGGTAGATCTTAATTATTTATTTTTATTTTTTTTATTTTTCTTTTTAAAAAATGTATCTACTTTGATTGGAAAGTCAGACTTACAGAGAGAAGGAGAAACAAACAGAAAGCTCTTCTACCTGCTGGTTCAGTCCCCAGGTGCATGCAATAGCTAGAGCTGAGCCAATCCAAAGCCAGGAGCAGGAGCTTCTTCTGGGTCTCCCATGCAGGTAAAGGGTTCTAAGGCCCTGGGCCATCCTCTACTGCCCTTCCAGGACATAGGCAAGGAGCCAGATGAGAAGCAGAGCAGCCAGAACATGAACTGGCACTCATAGGGGATCTTGGCACATGCAACGTGAGGATTTAGCCACTAGGCTACTGTGCCGGGCCCATGCTATATGCATTTCACTATATATATACAGAATATATATGTTCTTTTTTTTAATCCCCTAGCCTCCAAAAAAAGAAAGCAACAATATCAAACCCCACAAAGTCAGTGCTTACCAGACTATCATCATTCTGGTCTCCAAACATTTCTTTAAAAATCTTGCCAGGATCCGGAATTGGAGGAAATATAATGATCTTGAGCCTTTAAAAACAAACATTTTGGATCAAAACTCCCAGTTTATAGAGCATCCCATAGAGCCACATTAAAGCAAGACACTGGGAAATAATATGATATATAAGTCCTTTCATCCAGCAAACCAGTTGTGAAAAAAAATTCTAAAATAAGCTATGGGAAGTCAGTATCTGCAGAGCATCAAGTTTGGGTGAAGCAAACTGATCAACAGATCAAGCAACTTACTTACATCCTAATGTTTAAATAATACTGGTGCTATACTTTTAATAGACCAGAGGGGAACGTACTGTATAATTTTGCAAATCAATTTTCTGAGATTAGGATACATTCTTCTGTTTCTTTCTTCTTAATTCTCTGCTCTCTACTTTGCCATCCTAAAGCCCTCTTTTGTGCTCATCCCTCAAGGTGTGCCATTCGTGTGATCCAGAGCTCCAACATTTGTCCCTTCTTCTTCTATCACTCACTTAGTTTATGAGCACTGTACTTCGGTTTTAAATGTTTAAGGCTTTAAAATCTATTTACATCCTGTAAGACTCCCAAAATTCTATAATCCCACCCAGACTTTTCTCTCTCTTAAAATTCCAGATTCACGTACAAGGAGGTGTCCAAAAAGTTCACAGAAATGCATACTATGAAAAATTCATGCGTGGATTTCAAAAATCTTGTGCACCAAGATAAACAAAATTTTAAATTCTGTTTTTCCTTAAAATTCTGAAGCATATTTGTGTACTCCAACTGCCTCATAATACCTCTACTTGATTACGCAATACGCATCCAGAACCTGTGCCTGAAGCCTTGTCTCTCACTTAATACCAGCCCTCCTCATGGTATTTGTTAGCGGTACCAGCATTTGCTCGAGCCCAACCGGAAGAGGTATTGTTGAATCCTCAGTTTCCCTCACATCCCCACGGACAAGCAGCTATTGTCAAGTCTTATCAGTGCTTTGTTCAAAATACATCCCCAAATCTCACCACCTTTTATCAACTCTACTGCCAACTCCCCCCTCACCTTTCTTACAGTCCAGTTCAATGTAACCTACCTATTTTACCTGCTTCCATTCCTGCCCAAGTCAATTATTACTCAGCATCTACAGTGATTTTCTATAAGAAAACTTCAGTTCATTTACCTGCCCTGCTTAAAATATTCAGTGTTTTCCATTATGACTAAGACAAAAATCTAAGTTCCTTGCCAGGGCCTGTACCTGCATGACCTGATTCATCAGCTTTGTCAGCCTCACCTGCTGCCATGCTCGCCTTTGTATCTTGAATTCCAGTCAAACACACTAAATGCCACCCAGCCCCAGGGCCTTTCCCTGGCCAGGAAAGGTTTTTCCTTGAATATGTGAAAGGCTCATCCATTCACTTTTCTGAGTCTCTTCTCAAATGTTATCTTCTTAGAAAGGCCTCTTTGGCAGTTTTATGTATGACATGCCTTTTATAACTTCTAACTCCCACTGCTACACTGCCAATCTTACTTCTCACTAAGTGAAATCATTTTGGTGTGAAAAATTTGAAATCTATGCATAGTTTTTCTAGATTATGCATCTTCATGAGCTTTGTGAAGAACAAACTGGTGAATTTTTCTGTACTGAGGTAAATTTATCTTTTAATCCTATTTTCCTTGAATGTTCTGAAGATATATATTTATATACACAGCTATACATACACATATATATCCTTCTGGAATATATCCTGCTAAAATATAGAAAGAGACTTTGTCCTGTTCACTTCTAAAACCTCAGCACTTACAACACTGCCTGGCAGCTAAATAAGCATTAAATAAATGCATGTTGAAAACAATAATAAAATATTCATTCTGGACCCAGCTAAACAGTTGTATTGCAATCTTGTACATTTACTGCAAGAGCAAGTAACAGTCCCCATCATGAGAATAAAATATAACATTCTTAAAGAATAGATATCACATAGAAGTGACAACCTGGTAAAGTTCTCTTTCTTATAGTCATATATACCAAGCAGCCTGCTCTATATTAATTATAAGTCACTTTATTAGTTACCAGTCTGCACTCTTAAAACTTCATTCCAAGAGCCACTAAGTGTTGATAAATTTGGCCTTTGAGAGGGTAAAAGGAATAAAGGGTCTAGTCAACAGTGCTAAACACATGTAAAGGGAGCAGGGCTTGAGCAGAGGCCTCGGGAACAAATCCAGCCCTTCCCTACCAGATAACATACTCAATACCAGTTTTTTTGCCATATCATCTTAGCAAAAATCATTTGTGGCCAAAATGCCTCTAAATGTACCAGGCAATATAAAATATCAGCATAGACAGCAATAACCATAGCAACTAGGCTCACAAAAACTATAAAGCTTGCCTGGAAAGTCTCCTTACCTTTTTAGGTAAAGCAGGAGGACTATGATAGCACCTGCAACGATGACAGGAATGATGAGTAACATGGTTATGTAGAATGTAGAATTGGGCTCCTTTCCTGGAGAATGGCAAAGCAAACAGAAAGACATGAGAAATGAAACCCTTTTAGTCATAAATTAAACAACAATTTTGCTAACAAGATCAGTAATATTTCTGCCCCCACCCCAATACATTTTTAAAAACTCCAAATATTTTTACCTTCCTCTTAGTATTTGTCAAAATTTAAAATTTTCAGTTTTTTCAAATCTGCCTAAAAATCTGTGAATGAGTAAATATCTTAAAGACTATTTAAAACTAGAATCTCTGAACTAGTTTAAGACAAATATTTAATAAACATACTGTATCAATTAAATATTATCTCATTAACAGTGATTATATTTTCCTTACCAGTCACTTATCACTATTAAAATATTTAAACTTCAGCACAAAACTACTATTCTACTTTTTAATATATTCTATTTTTTCTCAGAAATGGGGAGAGACAATGAGATCATCCAACTGCTGGTTTGCTCCTTAAATGGCTGAAACAGTCTGGGGTGGGCCAGGTTGAAGCCAGGAGCGAGGTGTTTAATTGCAGTCTACCATATGGATGCAGAAGCCCAAACACTGGGCTGCTGTCCCAGCAGCAGCAGGGAGCCAGAATGGAAATGGAGTAGCTTATGGGAAACAAACCAGTGCCCATACTGGATGTTAGCATTGCAGGCAGTAGATTAACCGGTAATACCAATGATTGACCCCATGAACTACTATTCCTAAATGAGTACCTACTATATGTCTGACTCCATAGTGGGTGCTTTAACATGCCTATCTCATATTTATACTATACGTAGTATTAACTGCTATTTATATGACAAGCGGCCCAGAGGAGTTTCCTAACTCACTCAGAAGAGTTTAGTAAATGATGGAGGCAAGCCTCAAGTACAGCAAATTCCAATGCAAAAGCCCGCTTTGCCACATCTAATAACCAGAACAACATTTATCTATTTATGCACTTATCTGTTACCATGGCATAAGAATTTAAAAGGCATCATCAGGGTTTAACACCATTGTTTTAGGTAGCCTCTAAGATGACCCTGAATGATTCCTCTCTGTTGATATTCATACTCTTATGTAATCTCCCCTGAGCATGGGCTGGACTAATTGACGCTCTTCTAAGCTACAAAACAGTGGCAGTGATGGAATGCCCTTTCCAAGATTAGGTTATAAAAGGCCATGGTTTCCACGTGGGCTGGTCTCTTAAACACTCTTGCTTGCTTGGATCACTCACTTGTGGAAGCCAGCTTCCATATTGGGAAATAGCATTTGGGCGAGGTCCAGGCAGCCGGCTGGGGGGAACTTTGATATTAATTTCTAAGGCTGTTGTGACAATTTATCATACGTTGGGAGCCTTCAAACAGCAGACCTTTTTCTCTCACACTCTGGGAGGCTAGACACCCAAAATCAAGGTCCCAGAAGGGCCATATGCTCCTTATTCACATTGCCTTCCTCCTTGCGTGGTTACGTGCCTTTTTGTATCCTGTCCTGTTCTTCTGCGGATATTAATCCGTAGATTTAAGGTGTGCTTTAATCAAATATGTTTTCATCTTAACGTAATTACATGGGCAAAAGAGCCTAGTTCAAAGATCATCACAAGCTCAGGTACCAGGAGTTGGAACTTGAAAAAACCTGTTTTTGGAGGGCATAATTCAGCTCACTACAGTCTTCACGTAGCAGCCAACAAGGAACTCGGGCTTTCCAGTTTTCCAACAACATAAATGAGCTGGCAAGTGGATCTGCCAGACCTGGCTAAGCCTTCAGATTAGGTTACGATCCCAGTTGCAGCTTGAATGCAACCTCGAGATCTCTAGCTAAGAGGTGCCTAGATTCCTGACCAATACAAACTGTGAGATAACAATATATGTTGTTTTAAGTCACTAAGTGTTGGGATAATTTGTCATGAAGCAACAACTTACATCATTATGTCTGGCACAACCTGTCTCTCTGATTTTGAGAGCTGTTTAACAAGTTCTTAAGTTGTTTCAATACTGCCCCCACCCCTGGAACCACAGGAAGAAAAGACAATTCCCCCCCTTTATCTGATAATTACTAGACTCCAGCAACCATGACTCCTCAAGGCTATTTCAGCAATTGTTCATTGTCAAGTTTTGAGGTTCCTCAACATACTGATTACCCTTTCAAGTACATATTCTGGTCTGCTCAAAATAGGCACACTTCTGATGGGGCCAGACTAGTTAGTTCCCCAACAGGCAGCAAGGCTCTGGTTATGGGAATTGCACTATCATTGATATCTGAGACCTCAAATGACTTTTAAGGATATTTAAATTTCCAGCACTGAGTCACAATGGGAGCTTATCATCAAATAAAGCCTTGTATTCCATCCCACAACATTCACATCCACAAAGTAAAGGTCTTTCCAATCCTGTGCTTGAGCCCAGCTTGGTCAGTCTCTCAACTAATAATTTTTTTTCAAACACAAATAGATTTAAATATCTAAGGGATCAGTTCATGGCATAGTAGGTTAAATTGCTCCCTACGATGCCAAAAACTCACATGAGTGTGGGTTAGTGGTCTGGCTGCTCCACTTCCATTCCAGCTCCCTGCAAATGCACCTGAGAAAGCAGCAGAGAAGGGCCCAAGTGTTTGGACCCCTGCATCCATGCAGTAGACTTAGAAGAAGCTCCTGGTTCCTGATTTCAGTTTGGCTCAGTCTAGCTGCTGCAGTCATTTGGGGAGTGAATTAATGAATGGAAGATCTTTCATTGTCTCTCCCTCTCTCTGTTTAACTCTTAAAATATGATACACAGTCACTGCTCCATTGTTGATTCTGTCAACTAGCCCATAAAGTACTTTTCTTGCATTGTACAATCTGCATATTTCATCATGTCCACCTTCTACATTGATGAAAATGAGAACAGAGGTGAAGATAAAACTATTTGAATTGTGGTTTTCCAAAGAGTTGGATATTGTAAGTTAATATAGATTAGCTTGAAAGTGAACAGAAAATAAATTTCAATGGTAATACTCTTGGCTGATGGCAAGAAAAATGACATTTTCTTTTTCCAATTAATTTTCTGCTTCACCTTAGTTCCATGCATCAACATTTTAAATCTTAATGAAACTTGTTTGCTTACCTATACTCATTGCTTGACTCCAATTACTCCAGAGTTTGTCATCCTCATAGCATAATCTATTTGTTTTGACTCTTATTCTGACTGTATTCAAAGTATCAGGAAAAACACCAGGGACCATGAAACAAATTGTATCCTTAGATATAAAAATACACAAGGGATATTGTCAGTTTATTTACTTTTGTAGCAATTGGATTGTAATATAATTATCTGCCAATTTCTGTATATGATTAAGACTTGGATGGTAATGTAAATCATGTGACTTCAACTCCTAAAAAAAATAGCAATAAAAAGTAGTTTCTTTTTCTCAAAGCAGTTTAGACTTATGCTTGCCACGCCCCAACCTCAATTGCTTTGTCTAAAGAGTAATTTACTAACCTCCATGTTTCTTTCAAATTCTAAATTTGAACATTTGGCCTCTTCAACCTTGAGAAAAGAAAAAAAAATCATGTGTCTCATAATAAACACAGTAACAAAAAATGAGTTAGCTGTTTCCAATAAGCTTTATTTTTATCCCATTAAATGAAGATCACAAACAGTGAAAACAGGTAGGTTCACCTAGGGAAAAAAGGAATCTTAGCCCCTACCTCCTGCTATCACAAAATCACTTCCATACACATTGCTGATCTAAATGTGAAAAATAAAGTCAATGAGCAAATAAATACATAAACACAGTACACTTTTAGAGGAAAACAGAATACCTTCATGACATTGAAAGATCCCATGTTAGTCAAAAAGGCAAATTTTTATAAAGCCATCGATCTTAAAATTCAAAACTTCTAGTCATCAAATGATACTCTGTTGCAAAAATAAATAAGTAATACATAGACTAAGAGAATACATTTGTAATTTCTGATGGAGGACTTGCACATATATTTTTATCCTAGTAATTAGTAAGAAAAAGACAACTTGATAGAAAAACAAGCAAAAGACTAGAATGACATTTCACAAGAGGCATTATACAAACTGTCAATAAACTTATGAAAAATTGCTTGACCTTACTGATCAACAGAGAAAGAATTTTTTTTTAATTTTATTTATTTTATTTGAATGGCTGATACAGAGTCAGAGGCAGAGGCAGGAGCCAGGAGTTTCATCCAGGTCTCCAGTGTGTGTTGCAGGGTAAAAGCACATGGGCCATATTCAACTGCTTTCCCAGGCACATTAGCAGGGAGCTGGGTTGGAAGTGGAAAAGCTGGATTCAAGCCAGTGTCTATATGGGATGCCAGTATTACAAGTAGTGGCTTAACCTTCTGTGCCACAATGCTGGCCCTGGAAATGCAATTTGAATCCATGAAACAATCCATAAACCTATCAGAAAATATCAAGCTCTACATGAAGCAACGACGAATTTCTGCTTATTATTGTAAATTGGGACAATCATTTGGAAAAAAACTGCTAACTATTAGAGGCAGTCACATGTAATATGAAATGCACATTGTGGCACAATGAGTTAAACTGTACTCCATCCTGATTCCATAGGTAAGTGCTTGGTTTGATCCACTTCCATTCTAGTTTCCTGTTGATGTTGCTGTGAGGCAGCAGCTGGTGGCTCAAAGTACTTGGTTCCTGCCATCCACATGGGAAACCTGAACTAAATTCCTAGCTTCTGATTCTGATCTGGCCTAAAACTGAGTGTTAAGGGTATCTGGGAAGTGAACCAGCAGATGGAAGACCTTTCTCTTTGTGTGTCTAATTCTCTGTAAATCTGCCTTTCCAAGAAAAATAAACTTTTTAAACAAAATAAACAATAGTTTTGAGAGAGATACACACACAGATAGAGGGAGGGAGGAAGGGAAGACAAAACGGAGAGGAGTTCGGGGGGGGGGTAGAAGAAAGAAAGGAATCTCCTTTGTTGAGTATAAAATACAAAAAAACAACTGAGAAAAGAATTTGTAATGTAAAATTCCTCTCCATATTGTCTAAGTCACTTTTCATCTACTGTACAGAAAATGATCAGTTGGTTAATTGCCAAGTATTTTCAACAGAAAGAATTAAAAAATTAATGCATGAATATTTCTTCCTTAAATAGTCAACAATGACTAAAGAAATGTTTAAACTTAGAACAAAGATCAAATGCATAGATAGTCATTCATTTTGGCATGTCATGCCACTCACTGAAGGGTTCCTGTCAGCATTTGTGAAGAGTTGAGAACCCAGTGTAATTATAGAGGGCCATCTTTTCCAATGTTTCACACATAGGCAGAGAAAAAGGCACCCAGAGGGGAACATGTCCCGGGACTGGCCATTTGGAGTCATAGGCCTGCTGGGGAGCCACAAGTGTCAAGATCAGCTTCAGGACTCACGCCCCTCCTACACTGGACCATCTCCCAAAGACATAAATTTCAAAGTTAGCAAAACATTGTGGAGATTTAGATCCCTAGGCTCTCGTCCAAATGTAAATCCCCTGGCATAGTTTATCATTTACTCAGATGACCATGAGAAGCAAAGCAAGGGCATAAAGCACCAAGCAGAGACAGCAGCAACCCGGCGGGGGGCAGGGTAGGGAGGGTATGTCAAAAGCAAGTTTTTCTTTTCTTTGGGATTCCTTCATGAGCTACTTCTTGCCATAACCCCTGTATCATGGCACCCATTCATGTTTCCGCTGACTACCCTCTCGTAAATGTTATCGCTTTATGAAATAATTCCTCAAATAGTCTTGAAAAAGGGGGGAAAAAGAAGTTTAACTAACAGAGCTTAAAATCAGTGAAGACTCAAAAAGCCCAGGACATTCTAGGGGCGGAAGCAGCTGGTGAACATCTGCTAGGAGAGAGCATTAAACTCAAGTGTATAAACAGATTTAATTCCACATAGACTATAGTTCTGATTTAGGTAAATAACTTCCATACTGTACAAGTTCAGTTGAGAAGTCTGTAAAACAATCAAACAAAAGCAGCTCAATTCAACAAGACTTTATTAAGCGATCATTATGTGCATGGTATAAGTAGTCTTGGTCAAAGTTTAATACATGGAGATGAACCCATCTTGAAAACCATCCTAAATTAGAGCTGTGTCGCCTATAACAAATTAGTTACACTCTCTGAACCCTATTTTTTTCTCAATAAAATGTAGGCTAAATATATACCTATTTCATGGGTTGTTATGGCCTTCTCTATTTCTCTCTGCCTTTCAAATAAATAAATACATAAGTGTTTTTAAAAAGAAAAATAGGAAACACTGAGCTGATTAGGTGGTGTCCAATGGTTAAGCAATACAAGCTTGTGAGAATTTTGTTTAAACCTTATTCCTACACTTACTAGAAAGGCACTCTTAGGAGTAGCTAAGTTTTCTCATCTGTAGTATGGGAACAACAGAGCAGGACCTAGAGCCCTGGAGTTACTGTGAGGACTAAACAAGGAAATTCACATTGAGTACCTTAGTAAAACATTACAAAGAAATTGCTCAATATGTGATGTTAGCTGCTATTGGCGGCAGGACTAGCGCCCAGCAGGTACCCTCTGACTCCTGTTTCTAATTTTTGAGGGCAAGAGGAGGCATACACGCAATCAGGTTAAACAGAAGAACATCACTGAGTGGTAAAGTAATAAAAGCAACAGGTGTCTCAGAATTTCACCTGGAAGGAAACAATAGAGCCTGGGGCAGTCAAATCTATTCCAGCTTTCGGTAACTTGCTTTGTTAGAAATCTAAACGTCACCCTTCTCAACACATGGAAGCCCTTTGCTTTGCCTCACTGTGTGTTATTTCACCGCACCAATAATTGATGATTAGACTTTCATCTGCAAATTCCCAGAAGAGCTCTGCTCTGCTGTGGACCTGCTCTCTCCCTCTGGAGTTACAGCCTGTCAGAACTGGCTGATTTTAATGAACATTTTCACGTTGACAAAAACAAAATCGGGCCCAGGAATGTGCTTACTTGTCAGCTGCTTTAAAAGCCAACCATAAAAAAAAATATGGCTTTAAAACAAGTTATCTAACATTTTCTTTAAAGATTTATTTGAAAGTCAGAGTTGGAGATAAAGAGGATCTTCCATCTGCTAGTTCCCTTTCTAAATGGCCACAGTGGCCAGCACTGGGCCACGACACAGCCAGGAGCTTCACCTGGGTGAAGGGACCCAAATACTAGAGCCATCTTTGGCTGCTTTCCCAGGCCATTAGCAGGGAGCTAGATCAGAAAGGTAACATTCAGGTCTCAAACTAGAGCCCATATGCAATGTTGGCTTCTAACTTTTTTTTGTTATTTTACGATTTTCAAAAATTTTTTTATTGGAAAGGCAGATATACAGAGTGCAGGATCTTAATCTGATGGTTCACTCCCCAAGTGGCTGCAATGGCCGAGCTGAGCCAATCTGAAGCCAGGAGCCAGGAGCCTCCTCTGGGTCTCCCACAGAGGTGCAGGGTCCCAAGGCTTTGGGCAGTCCTTGACTGCTTTTCCAGGCCACAAGCAGGGAACTGGATGGGAAGTGGGGCTGCCGGGATTAGAACAGGCAACCATACGAGATCCTGGTATATTCAAGGCAAGGACTTTAGCCGCTAGGCTATCATGCTGGGCCTTACTTCTAACTTCTAAAATTTAAATGTACAAAGGGCCCAGACAGACAGCATGCAAGTGAGTGGTGCAATCCTCGTGGTTTGGAGGTATCACCTACAGAAATATACTTCAGGGTTGGTATGATTTTAAATGTGGGGGAAACTGTGGACAGCAGTTCGTGTCCAGCGGCCCCACTTCCCATCCAGCTCCCTGCTTGTGGCCTGGGACAGCAGTGAAGGATGGCCCAAAGCCTTGGGACCCTGCACCCATGTGGGAGACCCAGAAGAAGCTCCTGGCCCCTGGCTTTGGATCGGCTCAGCTCCAGCTGCTGCGAACACTTGGGTAGTGATTGCGCAGACGGAGGACCTTCCTCTCTCTATATACATCTCCTATATATTTCCTCTTCTCTGTATATCTTACTTCCCAATAAAAATGAATATATCCTTATTAAATACATCTTTAATAAATAAATAAAAGTATTTGAAAGGCAGAGAGAGGGAAATATCCTCCCTCTGCTGGTTCACTCCCCAAATGACCACAACAGCCAGGGCTAGGCTGGGCTGAAATCAGGAACCAGGTCTCTGCCAGTGGCTGCCAGGGACAAAGCCATCTAGGCCATCTTCCACTGCTTTTCCCAAGCATATCAGCAGAGAGCTAGATCAGAAGTGGAGCTATCCAGACACAAAACAGTGCTCATATGAGATGCCAGCATCACAGGTGGTGGATTAACCAGTATGCCAGTCCCTAATATAATCATCTTAAATCATAATATCTTAAATCAAAATACAGTATCATAAATCAAAACAGTATCATAAATCCAAATACTCAGTCAAACAATAAAGCTTAGCAAAACACACTGTAGAGTCTCATTACTTCTCTTAATGATTGCTGAGCTACTTAGGAGCTACTTGGTACTACACATCACTAGCCTAAGAAAAGATCAAATCTCAAAACTCAAAACATGGTTCTACTGGCTGTACTTCATTTTCATACCATCATAGAGTCAAACCATCATCAGTTAGAGATCATCTGCACCTCCACAATTTGATCCCTAACTACTGTTTTCGGATATATTCTGGCAACAGCACCCTCCTTTTTGCTCTTCCCACATATTCCAAGCTCATTCTTGCCTCAGAACCTTGGTGTCTCCTCTACCCCATGATTTCCCCAGGAGTTGTATCCTGCTCATTATTCTGGTCTGGTCACAAATGTAATTACTTCAGATTCTCTCCACAACTAATACTCCTCTAGGTCTTTCCAGTCACCCTACCGCAGCACTCCATCTTATTTTCTTCAGAGCACTTACACTCTGAAATTAGCTTACTCATTTACATATTCCTCCTCTAGTGTGCAAACTTCATGATGGAAAAAAAAAAGGCAGTTAGTAGTCATCATGTGTACTATCTTATCCCCAGCATATAAAACAGTACCTGGCACAAAACAAACACAAAATAAAGCTGTGGTAAGCAAATACATTAACGAATGGCTTGAACTTTGTAGCCAATATTGTCAGAAACTCTCAAACACGCTTTTTATCAGACAAGAAGTTCCACCACCACCACCATCATCATCATCATATGACAAATGGCAGAACTACATTTCTTTTGTAGGAAATCCAAGTGAAAAGAAAGTATCCAAATAAGCTAAAACACTTACATAGAAAATGTTATGTGTCTCAGATCGACTGCTATTGACTTCAACTTCATAAGTTAAGCATCTGCTAATAAAATTCTGTGGATTCTCCCATTGCACATACAAGTTATCATTTTGGAGGAAGAGATTTTTAATCTGTGGAGGATCAGGTTTCACTGAAAGAAACAGAAGAAAAATTAATATCCAAAGTTTATTTTACTTTAGACACACATACACAAATAAAATATACTATCATGAAATTCAATCAAAGTTTGGTTGTTTCTAATAGCTTTACACAATCAGATTCATAGTTTGAGAATTTCTGATTAGCCACAAAATAAACTGTGGAGGAAGTTTATCTTAAACTGTATTAAAATGGATTTAAGGAGAGTCTTTGTGGGTTTCTGGCAAATGGCATGAACTCTGATCTGCATCCTGGTTATAAGCTGACCCGGGTATAATCAGGACATCTAACTGCAGGATATAAAGAAGACTTTTGGTTCAGATGTTCTTCCACATACAAGGATATTCCCTAGCTATTGCTCACTTGTACCAACCAAAAATCACAATTAAACCATTAGTCTAAGCTCTCATTACACTACAACATGGATGCTGCTCAAGTATATTATGTTAAATAAACAAACTAATCACAAAAGGACATATACTGTATATTTCCTTCATAAGAGGTATCTAAAGGAATAAATTTATAGCAACAGAAAGTAGAAAGTTAACAATGATGGAGGAATCAATATTTATCTGCATAGTTTCATTTTTGCAGGATGAGGAAATTCTAGAAATCTGTTGCACAGCACCATGTGTATACTTAACACTGATAAATCATACAATTAAAAACATTTGTGATGATAAATGTAGTGTTACATGAGTAGAATCACATGTCAGCTCAATTTATTTTTTTCAGAAATCAGTTATTAATGCCACGTAATAGAGGGTAACAGATAAACAACTTGCTAATGTCATCTTCTAGCCGAAAAGGGACTTCCTCATTGTCACCATCAATGTCCAGGGAGAAGCAAAATAAGCCTTTGAAAGTTTATTTAGGACAATCTTCCAAACAAGGAGATGAAAAGAGAAGGGATTTGCTTTATCTTAACATGCTCAGCAAATTACGCTGCCCTCACTCCCTTGGCCTATAAACAACTGCCTTTGGTCAGGAGACCTTACCTCTTTGACAACATGAAAGGGATGGTAGTCTTATACTCATAAACTCAGGAACCTTGTTAATTAAAGGCTATCTATCAATGATTTGTGTACCACTGAGCCAGAATCTGAACTCCTTATTAAACCATTACAAGAAACCATCCACATGACTATAGTACTTTGCCTTAGAAATTCAGGGGGGAAAAAAGCAAAAACAAACAAACCTCTTCTTTATCCTTGTTTCCTTTGGACCTTACAACAGTTCTTTGAGGTCAAAAGGAACTATGTATTCCATTTAATACTTAAGAAATCACTTCAAATGGGTGGATAGGACTTGTCCAAAGTGGAGGAGGTTGGACCTTAACCATACCCTGTATAGGTATTGTTAGTTGTGCTAACAATTGATTGATTAGTGCCTGTGTTGTACAGGGTGGGTAAGTATTTTGAATATCACCCCTGATGGCATATACCACTTTGAGTCTAGGATTTTTCTAATGATGAGATAGGATATTCAGGAATCATCTTCTCAAATACCTTAACTGCAAACAAAACAGATCTCAGAGTCAGACAGACTACATTTTGCTCTTGACTCTACAACTGACTGCTCTAAGTATCAATGGAATCCTAACTTAGCAAGGATAAAATATCTGGCATGTGCTCAATATATATTAGGATTTTCAAATTTAATTTTTTAAAAAAGGCTCTATCAAAGAAAGATAAGCATAAGCAGAGTTCCTTATTTGAGCAAATGCTTGAAGACCAAAATAATAAATTTTTATTACTTGTGTAAATATCCAAAAGCTAAAACATACTTTTATCCACAGTCACGGAAAACTTCTAAAGCTTACCATGGGAAGTTAGTGGCACTATGTTGAAAGATGGTCTAATTTTTCCTGCATTATCCTTGACCATTATTTGAATACCATGCTGTTCAGAAGTAGAATCCTTCACTTTAGTCACATCAAAGGAACAAACAATGTGTTGATCTTCTTTATAGAAGTTTTCACATTGAAGAATTTTTCCTAGGCTGCTGTGCCTGCAACACAAAATGGGACCAACTTCTGTATTATTTTAATAAGCTTATTCAAGAAATAGGTACAGTTTTTTTGTTTATTATTTGACAGGCAGAGAGAGAGAGAGAGAGAGAGAGAGAGAGAGAGAGAGAGAGAAAGACAATGATTGAATGTGTGTATTCCCATCCAGTGGCTCATTTTCCAAATACCTACAACAGCTGAAGCTAGGGCCAGGTCTGCAGCCTAAAACCAGAAATACAATCCAGAATCTCATGGTAGGAACCTATCAATTGTGCCAATATGCGGACTCTCACGTTCTGCACTGATCAGGACACTGAAGTCAGAAACAAAGAATTGAACATAGGCACTCTGAAGTGGGGTGTGAACATCTTAACTATTGAGTTAAACATCTGCTCCCTAGAATGTTTTTTTTTTTAAATCACTGAAATGCATGTCCCTGGAAAAGTATCACTTCTAATAAAACAAGCAAGATGGGTTTCGCAAAACTCCATTTTACAATGTAGCCCATTTCAAACTCAAGTAAGGAAATACTTTCTTTTTAAAAAAGATTTATTTATTTTTATTAGGAAGTCAGATTTACAGATAGAAGAGACAGAGAGAAAGATCTTCCATCAGCTAGTTCATCCCCCAAGTGGCCGAATGGCCGAAGCTGAGCCAATCCAAAACCAGGAGCCAGGAGCTTCTTCGGGTCTCCTTCTCATGTACAAGGTGCCAAGGCTTTGGGCCGTCCTCAACTGCTTTCTTAGGTCACAAGCAGGGAGCTGGAAGACAAGTGGTGCCAGTGCTCCACTTGAAGTGGGACAAGAACCAGTGCTCATGTGGGATCCAGGTATGTGTAAGGTGAGGAGGACTATCAAGAGCCATGAAAACTGGATTTCCAATTATTTCCACTTCTGTATAAAAGCAAAGTTTTTGAACCCAGAATAAGAAGTTTTATGCTTCCTGAAAATGTCTATCTGCTAAATCCCTCCCTGCGATCTTAGCTTCTTCCTCTCCCTCCTACCTCTTCCCAGGACATTCTTCTCTATTTCTGACTATTTTTCCCACTCATCCCCAATTTAACACTCCTGCCCCTTAACTACAACTTCTGTGCTGGTGATTTCTAGTCCTGACCTCTCACCTCAGAGCTAGTAACAGATTTTTAATTGCTCAGTGGAGTCTTCCACTCTTCAAAATCAGTAACCAATTACGTGTCCTCTTCCCCAGCAAACTGCCTTTCCTTCCTATTTGCATTATGCAGACAGGCTCCTTTCCTTTGGGCTCCCACTGAATTCCCAGATTAGATACTTTGAAATCACCTTTCCCACCACCCCATTTCCCTATATTCATCATACCTATCACTAAATGGATTCTTGTCTTTTTTGACATTCCCATTGCCTACATTCTAATTCATGACCTCATCACTTTAGGCTTTATTTTTAATTCATTTTGAGCAGATTTAATATAGCTCATAGATACAATTCTTATATTTACTTCCTCTTCTCTCCTTTGCCTCTCCCTCTCCTTTTCTTTTTTTTCTTTTTTGAAGTTTTTGAGATAACATCTTAAACTTAATACATTATAGTAAAAAAAAAAAAGTTTAATGATTTACCAAATAAGAAGTTTAACAAGTAAAAAAGCAAAAGATTCTAGTTTAGAGGGAATATAGGCAATGGCTATAAACAATAACTGGACAGAAACAAGCATTTCACCCACATACAGTAAGTTATAAGGTAATCATGGGTCATTAGAACTCCAGTTTTACAAAACTATATTTGCAGTAATAGTATCACACAGGCATTTCTTTCTTGTTTTGGGGATTTAGTTTTACACACAAGAACATACAGCATTTGACCTCCTCCGACCTTCCTTTACTAATGTCCTGCAATCATTGCCAGACTAATGTTCTTGAACAGCTTTCTTTTAAAAATAATTTCCTTTATTTGAAGGGCAGAGTTATATAGCAAGACAGGGACAAAAGGAGGTCTTCCATGCACTGCTTTGTTCCCCAGGCTGAAGCTAGGAGTCAGTACCTCCATCTCGGTCATCCACAGGGGTAGCAGGGGCCCAGGTAATTGAAGCATCATTCACTGCCTTCTAAGGTACATCAACAGGGGGCTAGATCAGAAATGGAGCACTCAAGACTCAAACTGATACCAACATTATGGGTAGTGGCTTAACTTGCTAAACCACGACAATGGCCCTCAGAATGGTTCTAAGTTTCTTACTCCATTGGGTGGTTTTCAATGTTTCCCACAAAGCGGTACTGCTGGTATTTTATTTACCACTTCACTTCTCATGTATCTTGCCCAGTGATTATCAGTATCTAGTACAGTACAGACAAATACAATAATACAATAATACAATGTTTTCATTTTTTTTTTTTTTTTTTTTTTGGTCTAAGGCTAAGGCTATCTGATAACTCTTTTTATAAAGCTGGCAGAAGAGACCATTAAGTCCTGCATCATCAGCCACAATGGGACTAGTTAAGGTTTCTGCAGAAAAGGGACACAATCTTTAAAATGAACTAAGGGGTAAGTATTTGGTACAGCAATTAAAATACCTGTTAAGACTCCTGTGTCCCATATCAGAAGGCTCAGGCTCAAGTCCCAGATTGGCTTCTGATTTCAGTTTCCTGTTAATGCACACCCTTGGAGGCAACAGTGTGGCTCAAGTGACTGAGTCCCTGATACCTACACTAGAGACCACACTGAGTTCCAGGTTCCTAGCTTCGGCTTGGCTCAGCTCCAGCCATTACCAGCATTTGGGAAGTAAATCAGCGGATGAGAGATCTCTGTTTTTCTCTGGATTTGTTCCTCTACCTGCATCTCAAATAAAATTTTCAAAATGTGTAGAGTCACAACCCCTTGACCTATCTGATCAAGGACATCCTTAGACATATAAAATGCGTATTTCTCAAACCATCTCCGAGAGAATCTAACCTTGAAACTCTTTCCAGACCCAAGGATTAGCTTTCTGATAGCAATTTTCCAGGGGAGGCTGCTACAAATCAGTTTTTAGAAAGCTCAGATCTAATGCATTTATTCCTTTAATGACTACTCAAAGAAATACTTCACATGAAATTGTTCTTGTCTTCAAGACATAGCATAAAAGCTTTCTGTCTTCATTTCAGGTTTGTAGTGAAAGCAGTGTTTCAAAATTATGTTACTGTATGGCTAGTTTTTAGATCAGATAGACCTAGAATGTTTTCCACCCACAGCAAGAAAAAGAAAGTAAAGAAATCGATGACATTTTTCCTACATAAATAAAGAAAACTACTCATGAAATTAGTGGGTTTTTAAAATTATGAAAAGAATTTCAACAGTCTTTTTAGATACCCTTTTCATCTTTAGACTATTTCCTATATACTTATTTACAGAAGATGTGAAATTTCAAAACAACTATGTTACAATTTAGAAATAATAATAAAAGGGAAAAAACTGGCTTTGAAAAGACTTCCTTGGACTTCCTGTAAAAAAAAATAGATAACCCAAGATAGCAGGTGTTTCCTCTTAAATCTAAGTATGAGTTCCTCCATGAAAGGACCCTGCAGACATGAGGAGGGGAAAATTATTCCTCCCACTCTGAAGATGACTAATCTGGTAAGAAATTCCCTAAATGTCACTGTCAAGACTAGTCTAGAGCTGCATAGGTAAGGATTTCAATGCCACACTAAGGCAAGGAAACAAGTCACTGTTCTGGGGCTTCAAACAATTATTTGGAATACAAAACTGACTCCACACCTCTTGGTTGGACGTGGAAGAACACTGTCATCGGCCATCTTATGTGACATGATTTAAACTCGCACCTAAACCATTTCTGGGTGCCTGCTAATGAGCACGCTGTGGTGATTCCCTTCTGTGGTTTCGATTGGGAAAGATGTATCCAGGGGACAGCAAGAAAGGAGGAGTTATGTGCTGGTAATTCTGTGAAGTCAGAGGTGAGGTCAGCACGGGGTAATGACAACATCTGCAAGGGGATGGGGATGAATAACACAACCAGACATGGAAGCCACCAAAGCCTGAGAGCTTACTCTATACATGCCAGCAGTTAGTCATGGCTCCAAACATTCCTTCCCTCCCTTCCTCCCTTCCTTCCTTCCTTCTCTCTCTCTCTCTCTCTAAGACATACTTATTTCCTCCAAACTCAGAGTTACAAAGATACAGACAGACAGACATACACACACACATACACATTCACACATAGACCTTATATCCAATTGGTTCACTCTCCAGATGGTTACAATGGCCAGCACTGGGTCATGCTGAAGGCCAGAGCCAGGGGCTTCATCAAGTCTCCCATCATGGATGTTAGGGGCTCAAACCCCCATCACTGCATCCAAGTCCCAACTCCACTTCTAATTCTAGCTCCCTAGTAATCCCAAAGGGTTGAGGAGGCAACTAGTGATGGCTAACTTGCTGACATCCCAGAAATCACTGTGGGGAAACTTGGACTGAGTTCCTGGTTCCTGGCTCCAATTTAGCCCAACCCTTGGCATTGTGGACATTTGGAGAAAGAACCAGCTTATGGAATTTCTCTATCCTGTCTGCCTTTCCAAAATACACACATGCATAGTTTAAGAAAGAGACAGGGCTTGGCGCAATAGCCTAGTGGCTAATGCCCTCGCCTGACACACACCGGGATCCCATATGCGCACCAGTTCTAATCCCAGTGGCTCCACTTCCTATACGATAGCTCCCTGCCTGTGGCCTGGGAAAGCAGTCAAGGACGGCCCAAAACCCTGGGACCCTGCACCCACATGGGAGACCTGAAGGAGGATCCTGGCTCCTGGCTTCAGACTGACTCAGCTCCGGCCGCTGAGGCCGCTTGGGGAGTGAACCATTGGACGGAAGATCTTCCTCTCTGTCTTTCCTTCTTTCTGTATATCTCTGCCTTTCCAATAAAAATAAATGGATCTTTAAAAAAGAAGAAGAAGAAAAAAGAGATATGAACTATTTTTACTGTCTTTATTTTACAAATTAGAGAACCAGGGTTCAAAGAAAGTGGACTTTGCCCAAATCACATTGCTAGTAAGAGAACCAAAATTTGAACCAGAGTGATGTGGCTCTATAATGAATCAGCTGTAGTCAGGGTAGAAGATACAGAATTTATACACTGGCCAATTGACCTTTCTGTGATTATAAAAATATTCCCATCTGTGTTGTGCAATACAAGAGCCACTAGTCACTGGTAAAACTAGCTTAGTAAGATTGAGCAACTGAGTTTTGGCTTATTTTTATTTTAATTAATACAAATTATAATGTAGAGGTGGACCAGATGGCTCAACTGGCTAATCTTGTGCCTTGTAGTGCTAGTATCCCATATGGTGCTGGTTCAAGTCCCAGCTGCTCCACTTCCTATCCAGCTCTCTGCTGGTGGCCTGGGAAATCAGAAGAGAATGGCCCATTGTCTTCGGACCCTGTACCCACATGGGAGTCCTGGCAAAAGCTCCTGCCTCCAGATTGGGCCAACTCTGGCCTTTGTAGTCATTTGGGGAGTGAATCAACAGATCGAAGATCTTTTTCACTATCTCTCCTCCTATCTGCAAACCTGCCTTTCCAATAAAAATAAACAAATCTTTAAAAAAAATAACAATGTAAATAGCCACATGTAATTAATGACTACTGTGCTGAACAACACAGGTGTATACTACAGAAAGAGACCATGCTGACAACTGGCATGGGAATGTGTAGGACAAGAATCTTGGGTGCCAGTGAACCACCATTCTCTTGGGATTGCCTCTTGGGTCACTTCCAATGGTTACACAGATTGTGACCTGCAAAAAGGCATCAACTGAGGGATGAAAGCCAGCCCAAGCACTACCTTCTGCCAGCTTTGGCAAGAGCCTGCAGCAGCCCAGAGAAGAGCAATGGTGTTTCTAATTGGTCAGTCCACAATTTTGTAATTCATTCACCCAGTAGAGACACTTTTTGCCATCTGCACTGAGACTTGGTTTGTGCTAGTATACCCTCAAGGCATTTCCTTATTTTTTTCTTGCCACAGATCCAACGGATTAAGCCAACAACCTACCTCCAATGTCATCCTGACTATAATAATTGGGTAATTTTCATACACAGACTGCCATGGAATGAGACGCTGTTTAAGATCTCTCCCTTTAATAAAATTTTTTTTCTCCCTTTTCTTTCCTACTCTACTAGACACAGACCTTTTGTGGTTTTACCATTAATGACTCCAGAGAAAGAAGGAAAGATGGACTAACAACAGAATCAACACAGCGATATGTTTTTAGCTTTATTATTAGCTCTCCCCAAATTTCACTGCAACAACCAGAGACAATCGTGTCTAAAGTATACAGTTCTTTGCCTTCTTCACTAGCAAGTCCTCAGGAAGCCAGAGTGACTCAATCTTTTTTTATTCCTAAAGTGTTCCTATATTGCTTCTATTTCCTAAGTCCTCACCCTAACTCTAAATGTGCTCCAGCTTGCTTTGGAGTCTGACTACCATCCACAACTTATTTATGGAATCCTTACCACGTGTTTGGCACTGGGTAGAACAAGACACAGTTCCTGCTCTCAAGGGATATTGCAGCTTGGGTCAAACTACCATCAAGTAAACAGGAAATGACAACACAATGTGTTGAACACCATGACACTCTCAAGTACGAATTTCCGTGGGATACAATGAAGGAACATGTCTCTAGACTTGAGAGGTCCAGAGAGGCTCTCTGGACAGGAAATGGTGTTTGAGCTGAAAGAAGACAATCAAGAGACATCAGGTGAAAAAGATCAGCTATGTGAAGATGCAGAATACTTTTACTATTTCGTCGGAATACTCTGAATTCTACTGTTCAGCTGGAGTGTTTGAAGAGTCTGTTTGAGGAACTGAGAGAAGTGAAGTGTTTGCTGACCAGTGTGGGTTGCAAAACAGGAAGAGGAGCAAGGAAGAAGATGAGACCAAGGCTAGAGAGGTCAACAGCACCAGATCATAACAGGTTTTGTCTGTCATGCTGAAATACTGGGGAACTATTGAAGGGTTTTGAGTAAATAAAAAAAAAAAGCAACAGGTACCAAGAGTGGGCAACTAAAAAACCTACAAAATCATAAATGAAATCTATTTTCATCAAGGGAAAAAACCTTCAGACAGAACTACATAATCTCAGTGTTACCTGCTTCACCAGTGGTACTTTTCAACTTTGTCAGAAGGATCCTACTCCTGAAGAGAGTGAATATGAATCCTGAGGTTTGCAGGTTTTCATTGAAAAAAATTCTCATCATTTTGGGGCAGTATTTTCCATAATATAGCTATGAGGCTTATAATATACCAAAAGTACTCCCCATGAAATCATCAGGCAATCTGAACACTCCGTAGTGAAGCACCATGGTCATTGTATAGCTTTAGAAGTACTACATCATGCCCTCTCAGACGTAATTGTGTGACGTAGTTGTGTGTGGGTTGGGGGTGGTGCCAATGTGGCCAGAGGGTTAAGCAGCTAACCACGAAACTAGCATCCCATCCCAGAGTGCTGAGTGCTGGTTCAAGTCCCGGTTACTCTAGTTTGAGTCCTGGCTGCTCCACTTCTGATCCAGCTCCCTGATAATGTACCTGGCAAGGCAGTAGCAGATGGCCCAAGTGCTTGGGTCCTTGCCATTCATGTGGGAGACCCAGATGGAGTTCTTGACTCCTGTTGCAGCTATCTGGGGGAGTGAATCAGTGGATGAAAGGTCTTATTTCTTTTGTCTCTCCTTCTTCCTGGTTTTCAAATAAAAATAAATAATCATTTTTAAATTTGAAAGGCAGATTAAAGAGGAGAGACAGAGATATCTTCCATCCATACATATCACAAACAGCCACAACAGCCAGCACTGAGCTGTTCTGAAGCCAGCAGCCAGGAACTTCCCCTGGTCTCCCATTCAGGTGCAGGATCCCAAGGTTTTTGCCCATCCTCTACTGCTCTACTAGGTCATAAGCAGGGAGCTGGATCAGAAATGGAACAGCCAGGACATGAACGGGCACCGTATGGGATGCTGGCTTAACCAATTATGCCAAAGTGCAAGCCCATAAAATAAAGCCCTTCCCCAAAGTTCAGTCTCTGAGAAACTGTGTGTAAGGCAGGCTGTCCCCCTTGTCAAAGCCTCCTAGGCAACCAGCCCTGCATCTACGCTAGCTTTCCACAAGTGTCTGTCTATCTGTACAACAGCGTCTGGCATATACTATGCTATCTTCACACAGGTAACTATGCTGGGTCCTCTCTCTCTCTTTGTATGTTAGACTTTAAGAGGAATGAGACATGTTTCTTATCTCTGCTGTCCATTCAGTGTTTTACCCACTGCATACTAGTAAAGGTTTAATGGGTTGAATTGGATTAACATGGCCCTTTCTTTCTTGTTCTGTTGCTAATAGTACTAGGATCTAAGAAAAAGAAACGATCACAGGCGAATTGAGAAAAGTAACAAAGTGCACAGTCTCAGAAAGCAAATACCATAACACCAGAGTATCAAATATAAAATTATCAGTTATTTTATGTGAAACTCAACTATTTGTTGATCTTAGTAGACTCCCAAAATTCATATTGCTGGTGGGAGTGTAAGATGGCTCAATCACTTGAGAAAAAAATCTGGAAGATTTCATAGAACTAAATATACAATCACCACATGAGTGAGCAACTGCACTCTTTGGCACTGATTGTGGAGAAATGAAAAGTTAGGTCTATATAAAAAACTGTACATGAATATCTATGGCAACTTTATTACAATAGCAAAAAACTGTGAACAACTCAGATGCTTTATGGTTAAACAAACTGATGTTTCCACATCGTGGACTGCTACTCAGCAGAAAAAAAAAAAAAGAAAAACAAAGAAATGAACTCTTGATGCACACAACAATGTGTGTGGATCTCAAGGGTATTATACTGAGCAGTCTTAAATGGATATATACTTCAGAATTTCATTCCAAAACATTTTTGAAATGATGACACTAAGAGATGCTTAGCGATCCCCAGAGGTTAGAAGGAAGAGTTCTCAAGTAGAGTGGGTGCACAAGGCATGTGATTGTGCCTATAGCAGAGTAACAGGAAGAATCCCATTCTACCTCTTCATATGTGCTAAACTGCACATAACTGCATGCACACACAAGTCTGTGTCAAACTGATTAAATAAGAATGGGGCTGGTGAATCCTTCCAATGCTAGTTTTCTGATTTTGATATTGCACTATAGTCAAGTAGCAGATATTTCCATGGGAGGAAACTAGGTGATGGGTACAGGGAATCTCCTTGTACATTCTGGCACCATTCTGTGGGTCTATAGTTAAAAACAAAAGAAGGCTTTTCAAAAAAGGAAACACATGAAGCAGGTGTAGTTTTCCTTGAAATAAATCTTTTTTTTTTTTTTGCATTAGAAGAAAACAGGATGTTTAGCTTTGTCTTTCACTTGCTCCCAACACAGTCATAATGAGTCCTCCAGTAACTCCACAATGTATACTCACCAATAGTAGAGAGTATAGTTAGTATCAGGACTAGTATTCCTTCCAGGGAGCCAAGAACATTTCATGTAGCTCAGGTTGTGCCAAACACACTGCAGCTCAGTCACGGCCGATTCAGGATCACCTGGAAAAGCCAAGCTGAGAGTTTAGAAGCCTTCTTGCTATACAACGCTAGAAACCAGCAAACAGGCCAACGGCATGGGGAATTAAGAGGAGGATGTTTCACTAAAGGTAATTCCTAATTACTCACACTCCCCATTTCACCCAGAAGTCACTCAGAACAGAGAAAGCCCGAAGCTCATTCGCTCCTAACTTTTGTCCCACTGACTGATCCAAAGAAGTATCTTGGCTACATCTGAGGGTCTCTTCACCTTTGTACCCCTAACTAGAGGGTTAGGTTAGAAGTAAAATAGTATTTCCATAATAGGCAATGGCCGAGGAACTTGTAAATGTGTGTGGGAACACAAACAATCCCTTTATCTCCTGGTCTTAAAAAAACTTCATTAAGGTACAATTTTCCTTACCATCATTTGATGAACACTGACCTATCTAGTTTTAAAAGGTAAACAAACATTTATCCTCAAACAAGTCTGAGGAAAAAGCCAGTCTAATTTAATTCTTTCTAGTTGCCTATTATGTGCTATTGGGAGGTCTAAAATCTTTCTTACTTAAAATCTCGATCTTTGGGACTTGTGCTGTGGTTAGCATGCTAAAAACTTCCACTTGCAGTGCCAGCATCCTATATAGGTGCTGGTTTTAGTTCTGGCTACTCTACTTCTAATCCAGCTTCCTATTAATGGCTGGGAAGGCAGTGGAGGATGGCTCAAATCCTTGGGCCTCTGTACCAACATGCAATACCTAGAAGAAGCTCCTGGTTCCCAGTTATGAACTGGCCCAGCTCTGGCCATTTCAGCCATTTGGGGAGTAAACCACCAGCTGGAAAATCTGTCTTTTCCTTTGTCTCTCTATAACTTTGACTTTCAAATAAAATAAATGTGTAAAAAATCCCTAATTATAAAGTCATTTTAATTGAGGTACTATGTCTCTAAATTAAGATGTATTTAGTTAAAGTATAAATCTATTATTCCTTCTGAGCCTTGAAGGGATAATACACTGAGCTATCACCAACCACTTCACATCAGCTTAGGCTGTTTTCCCAGAATAGTCATTATAGTATAGTTAGAGGGTATTCCTAGAGTACTCAACTAAAAACATGAAAACAGGTCAGGTAAACTGTTTTAAACCATGTTCCTAGCCTCCTGGTAGCCCTGATTTATAGAACCACATAAGCAGCACATATTTTTGATCACTGCAAGGCTGGTAGACAGAATGGTCCAGAGCGCACAGGCCCAATGACGTCACTGGAGGTTGGGGATGAGGCCTTGGCCTTTCCCAAACAAGGGACAACGTCATACTAGAAGACAATAGACAAACAGTATTTACTCTTTTTCACCAGGCCTGGTTTTAAGCAGCTCATACATATTATGTAATCCTCTTAATTGTGCAAAGCAGGTAAAATGGTTCTTATTTTATAGATGAAGAAACTGAGGCATGGCGGGACTAAATAAACTGTACAAGGTCACACAACTAGTAGCTGGCAGATCTGGGATTTAAACTTGAACAGTTGGCTTTTGGTAGCCCTGTTTTCAGTTTATGCTACTCTTTGTATACAACATGAGTCAGAAGGACATTGGTGATATAAGAATACCATATCAATCATCAACTTCACTGCCTGACAGATTTCCCTAGGAATTGTTTTGCATTGGAGCTTGGCTGCATGCTTATTTCTCTCCTTTAATAATTTTATCTCAAATACATGTGATATATTAAACTAATCTCCATATATTAATGAATAAAATAGTATTTTGTCTTTTTAAAAAAATCCCTGGACCTGGAATCTGAAAGCCTAGAGCAAACCATTCCGTTCCTTTATTCTTTACAAAATGGATTAGTGTTAATATATACCTTACACACTTCGCAAGATAAGCTTATAAGGCTTGATTTACGGGGTGTGTGTGTGTGTATTATTTTTCAAATCATTAAGTGTTATATAACTATTAGACCTTGCTACTCAAGTTGCCTGTGAGCTCATAGATGGCAGCAACATCTACACATTAACTACTGCTTTGCCAATACCCACTACAGTGCCTGGCACTTACTAGACTCGGCAAATGTTTAAGAATTGAATGAATTAATAGACAATGAATGTATTAAGCATATGGAGCATGTGGATTTATGCCCTGAATCGAAAGAAATAGTGTGTGCAGATGTTACCTTCAGGGGGCAAGATACACTTTTCCACCAAGATGCTAGGCTTCTCACTTTCACTGGTGCTACACTGGGACCCAACTTGCAGACAGACTTTCTCATTTAAGGGCACTTCTTTTGAACGACGAGTTTCTGGAGCAATTTTCTAAGATTTGGAAATAAATAAAAAAGGTATTGCTATACCCAACACACACAAACATTTTTAAAATAATAAAACATTCACATGGTCAAATGTGTACAAAACAATTAAGCTCTCAAATGATACCGATCACTGATTCTCAACCAGGAGTGATTCTGCTCCCCCTGCACCCCTCAGAGGCACTGGGCAATGCTACTGGACATTTTTGGTTTGTTGTAATTTGAGAGCAGGAGGCTACTAGCATCTGCAGATGCTGTTAAACAGCCTGCCATGCACAAGATGGCCTTCCCTGCTCCAACAGTAAAGGATCATCCTGCAGCAAAATTATATATCCACATGCAGAAGAATGAAATTTAGACCCCCTCTCTCACCAAATGCAAAAATCAACTGAAAATAATTAATGTCCTAAATGAAAGACTGAAAACTATGAAACTAGAAAATGACATACAATGCCTCAGGACATCAGAATATACACACATTTTGAGGAGAGTGGATCAGACCTCAAAAGCCCAAGAAACATCAGCAAAAACAGATCAATGAGATTTCATCAAACTCTCTACAGCAAAACCAATATGAAGAAACAAGCTGATGAAATTCAAGAAATTGTCTGCAAGCTATGCATCTGACAGGGATTAACAGAATATATAAGAAATTTAACTTAATTGAAAAAAATTATAACTCACAAAAAAATGCAGTTTAAAAATGAGCAACTGATCTAAATGGATATTTCTCAAAGGAAGGCATACAAATGAGCAACAGGCACATGTAAAAATGCTTAACACCCCCTAATCACTGGGAAAACGCAAATGACAACCACAATGAGATATCACCTCTCTTCACTTTGAATAAATATTCTCAAAAAGACAAAATAACAGTACCATGGGGCAACCATAGTTAACAATAATGTACTATACACTGTATAAAGAACTAGGCAAGAGGCTCCAAACAGAAAGAAAATGTAAATATTAATTTCTTGGTTTGACTGGTTTATGCCGTGTATCTGTATTAAATACTGTCCAGTAGTACATAAATGTGTTACATGATAATAAAAATTTTTAAATATTTATTTTTATTGGAAAGGCAGACATAGAGAAAGAAGGAGAGACAGAAAGATCTTTCACTTGCTGGTTCACTCCCTAAGTGGCCACAATGGCCACAGCTGAGCCAACTTGGATCAGTCCTGGCCATGGTAACCATTTGGGGAGTGAACAGATAGAAGAGCTCTTCCCCCTCCCCCTCCCCCCCCTTGTCTCTCACCCTCTCTCTTACTTTTTCAAATAAAAATAAATCTTTAAAAAATTATTTCTAGCAATCTGTTTTACAGTAGGGTGACTACAGATAGCAATAATGTACTATATGTTTTTTTTAAGGTTGAAAATTTTTACAGTTTTTCATCATAAAGAAATGATAAGTATTTTGAGAAGATCCCATTTATCCTGAGTATTACACACTTCTTCAAACATTGAAACATTACATAACACCCTTTAAATATGTACAAGTTTTATGTCAGTATAAAATTTTTAAATAAAATACAATCTCTACCAAATGACCAGTGAGTCGTGAGAAATCCTAGTATAGATAATGCAACTGCCCACATTTCAAATGTAGAATAATCATTGAATAATTCTACCACTAACATTTAAACTGTGTGGAAGAAATTTTAAAGGAGACACAAAATGGTTATTAAAACTGAATTGCAACCAGATGCAGTGTCCCATAAAAGAAAGAAAGAAAGAAAGAAAGAAAGAAAGAAAGAAAGAAAGAAAGAAAGAAAGAAAGAAAGAAAGAAAGAAAGAAAGAAAGAAAGAAAGGAAGAAAGGAAGGAAGAAAGAAAGGAAGGATAGATGGATGTTTTAAGAATTTGCTACACACGGTTACCTCTGAGGAGATGAAGAAAAGGAGGGGGCACAGGATCTGAAGAAAGGCTTTCCATTAAACACCTTTCTAGTCTGTTAGGACTATTTGATAGGGATTCCAAGGACCCACAGATAGGAAGCAAAAACAGCAAAATCATAGCAAAGAAAACCACCTGACCTGATTGTTAACACAGCACACTTCTGTACAAAATAAGATACTCCAATATCAGCACCCTATTGGCTCATGTATCCAGGTCTCTCATTGTTATCCTTCCTTCTGATTGGTTAAATCTGTACTCATCTCTCAGAAAGTAGCCACAAAGAACCTCTTTGTGTATACCAGAGCAAGTACTGGCAAGCTTCTCTGACAAAGTCTCCCTTTGGAGTCTCCCTCCTGCTGCTATAGCAGGAAGTTTCTCACTTTCAATAAACGTTGCTTTGCTCACTGTTCCTGTTCACACAGAAATTCTTTAGCATGAGATAAGAATTGAGATTACTCTCATCACCCCACAACAATCTCATAAACATATAAATTTCACTTGTTGTTACATACAGAGTACATGCACTCTTATTCCAAAAAGTACATAACCTTTGTGAAATCACAGAAAGCCAGACATAAATCACAAATATGGCTATTACAATTTAGAATAATGAGATTAAAGGTTTCTCTAGGAAATTAACATTTCCCAAGGTGACAGTGTTGGAATAATTGAGAACAGAGCTGCTTTTAATCAGAGTTTCCTGTTTTGCAATAGTTTCTGACTCATTTGAGATAGTGTGTCCTTTTTATAACCAGGACAAAATCTGTCACAGCTTTTCCTGCCACCCAAAGGAACTGTTATGCCATTTCACATGCCTGCTGTCAAATATGAGGGACTCCCACAACTAGGATATGTGACACTCTGAGAAGTAGCTAGCAAAACAAACATGAATAATAAGAATGTGGGGAAACCACTTTACATAGAACAGTTCTTAGGCTCAGTAAGGCTACTACTCTGAAAGCAGTCTTGGTCATCGCTGTAAGAAGAGAAAGAGAAATAGCTGTGAGCACATAAGCACTGTGGCACAGCAAGTTCAGCCACCACGTGCAATATCAGCATCCCATGTGAGCATTGGTTTCAATCCTGGCTGCTCCACTTCTAATCCAACTCCATGCTAACACACCTGAGAAAGCAACTGAGAATGGCCCAAGTTCTTAGATCTCTGGAGTCCCTGCTCCTGATTTTAGCTGGTCCAGCCCTGGTTGTTGTGGCCATTTGGAGAGTGAACCAGAGAATGGAACATCTTTCTCATCCTCTCTCACTCACTCTCCCTTTCAGATAAATAAATGTACCTTTAAAAAAACATATCTGTGAGCAAAACTCCTGGTAGGGAGAAAAGAGAGGGTGATTCAGTTATGCAGACACTAAATATTTCTGTCCCATTGGCAAAGCTATGCTTACCCTAAGTGGGACATCCACCCATTTTTAGTCAAGTACATTTTCACAGCTAATTCCTAATTCCTTCCCAAGAAACCTGCTTATCAGTTGGCTTTTCATTACAGCCTCTGCCTACAGGGGATGGGACACATCAATTATGATGACAGAAGCTCTTTTAGAACACTTCACTTCACCATTATACTAACCACAGAAAAATATGGTACTGGTCTTTGAGAGATGAATATGTGCTGAGGAAATGAGGTTTCTGAATTTATGAAGCTGAAGACCAGTCCCCATTCCCTGCCTGGATAATGTAATGGTGGCAATGGTGGAAGGAAGGCTTGGATGAGAATTTTGCCAACCTTACAGTTTCACTAAATTCAAACCCTGTATACCCTTGAATGAACCATCATGACACAAGGATCCTTGACAATTCTTGTTTGGGAGTTATACTTTGAAGGCAATGGAGAAAAAAAATGGATGGTCAAATGCCATAAATTACAATCATCAAAAATGAATCTCAATTGTTTTCCTATATTAGATACTGTTGCAGTTAGAGTCAAGGAACTTTATTACACAAAAAATTTCATTATAGGGTGGTAATATGGCACAGCAAATTAAATCACTGCTTGAAATGCTCGTAACTCATAGCAGAGTTTTGACGAGGGCCCTGACTAATTCCCTTTCAATTCAGTTTCCTGCAACTTATCCTGGGAGGCAAAAGATGATGGTTCCAGTACTTGTGACCCAGGTGGGAGACCCAGATGTAATTCTTGCATCCTGACTTAAACCTGGCCCACTTGAGGCTCCTGTGGCTTTTTGGGTGACTAAATTACCACAAAGATCTCACTTCCCCAGACCCCTTCCTTCAGTCTGCGTGTAATGTATGTGAAAACAAATACTTTAATTCAAAAATTGCTTTATTACAGTTGATTTTTAATTTAAAATGTGAGGACCTTGTGTTCTAGACATATAAATAACAAAAGAGTCTGCAGAGTTAAAAGATCTTTTAAAGAAATAACACAGCTTAAGGATTCTAATATGAAATTATAAATGGTTCAAAATTGGATTTTGATATTAGGGATTTCAAAGTGTAGAGTCTACACAAACATTCTACAAGCTGAAATTCTCAAAAAACCCGAAATACTTCTGGTCACAACCTTTTTGTTTAAAAGATACAATCTATACTTTTTAAAAATCTCTTTTAAATGTCAAGCCAAACACTATTACATTGGCATGAATAAGGAAACCTTGACTATTGATGCTTGCCAAGTCAAGCATGCTTCAGAAGGAACCCAATCCCTCCTAGCTGAACTTAAGATCTGTTTGAGGGTTCCCACATGACTTTTGGCTTTTTTGAGACATTCCACTGTTAGCTGTTGGAGGGTGTTGCACTCCACCTGTCAGGATAGGAGGTCTCCTTTGAAGAATGATCAAATATCATGGCCAGAGTCTCTTCCCCATCAGTACCAAGGCTTACTTGGCTGCATCATACCTTGCCCAATTCCAGAAGTCCATTCTCTAAAGGATAATCATCAGCTTCAGCCTCACTAGATATCTGGACAGAAAAACGATCTTTTGATTAATTAGCCTACTGGGATTTTCCTATCTCTTGGTGATGAAAGATAACTAACATCTAAAGCCAGGTCTGGCTTCTACTTGCCAAATTTGAAAACTAAAAAAGCAATGATGGAGGGTAACCACTTAACTAATCTAATCTTTATTTAAAAACTTGCCTATAAATCTCTTTCTCTCATCTTGATGAGCCTCCAATCTGAAGATTGAAAATAACCTCCATAGTTTATCTCATTCATAAAAGATCATTGCTTCAAAATGCTTTAGGCACACACACACACACACACACACATATATCTCATTTGTCTGATGATGTTAGCGTTACATCCAAGGACAAAAAAAAGCAACAAAGTTACTCTTGTTATTCATGTCCAGTCTCAGGACCTGAGAATTGCAAATTTTAAAAAGGCCAGACAGGAAATCTTTCATCATGAACCGAAAGGAACACAGGCATTTGATCACAACTGCACTGACAAGTGCTTGAGACAACTGAGAATGCCTTAGGCAGAGATCATCCTTTATAGTCATCATGTGGTCTCTGCAGGGAAAAAAATGGAGGAAACAAGTTGATGTTAGGATCAATCATAGACTACTGATAACACTCAGGTTTTATCCTATAAAAGTAGCAATCTCATGTAGTTCAACCTAACAAAATAGAAACTAACGGGTCCAGTGCAATATCCTAGTGACTAAATCTTTTCCTTGCAATCGCCAGGATCTCATATGGGTTCTGGTTCACGATCTGTCTGCTCTACTCCCTATCAAGCTCCCTGCTTGTGATCTGGGAAAACAGCGGAAGATGTCCCATTGCCTTGGGACCCTGCACCCACATGGGAAATCCAAAAGAAGCTCCTGGCATCAGATCGGTTCAGCTCTGGCTGTTACAGCCACTTGGGGAGTGAACCAGCAGATGGAAGATCTTTCTCTTCGTCTCTCCCCTCTGTAGATTCAACATTCCAATAAAAGTAAAGCAAATCTTAAAAAAAAAAAAAAAAAGAAACTACAATTATAAAAGCTTCCAAAAACTTTATGGGAAGATGCATATTATGAAAAATGAGGTATGGTCTTCAAAATGCATTTTGCATCAAAATAAACTTAGGTTTTAATTCCATTTTCCATAAACTTTTTGAAGTATCCTAGTCCTTTGCACTAACCTGTATCAAGTTTATTATAAACCTTATCTCCTTAACTATACACATCAGCCATATGAACAGGTACTATTATTGCTTGTCATTCCATCCAAATTTTACAAACAAGAAATCAGACTTCGAGAGTCTCTGCTCAAGGTCGTACAGCTTGAAATGAAATGAAATGGTCTGCTCAAGGCCACACAACTTGAAATAGACAAAATTTCAAACCTAATTCTACCTGCACGGCCTACTAAAGTTTTTTTTCAAGTGTAGATTTCTGTAAATATACTGAGAATGCAGCTCCATTTCTGAGCTAGAACATATCAGTATGAGTACCTGATTTATGCTTGACAGGCTACTGAAAAGAGATCTGAAAGAATACTTCTCGGGATTTCTCAGCTGCTTGGTGACTATGGGCTTTAGATTCGCAAACACCTAACAATTTTTTCCCGTTTGAACTACCACAAATCCTTAGCATAGAGCCCCCCCGCCCAAGTGTCTAAAGCATGTCCTTAGGAACAAGAGAAAGACAACAATATATATGTTAGGGGGGAGTGCTAGAAGTTCTAGAAGTTCTAGCTAGTGTTCCTCATTTAAAGGAGCTATTTTAAAATAAAATTCTTCTTTTTTAAAGATTTACTTATTTATTTGAAAGTCAGAGTTAACACACAGAGAAGAGACAGATCTTGCATCTGCTGATTCACTCCCCAAATGGTCAGATTGGCCCGGCCCACCTAGGGGCCAGGAGCTTCTTCCAGGTCTCCCACATGACTGGCAAACGGCCCAAGGACATAGGCCATCTTCCCTGGTTTTCTCAGGCACATTAACAAGTAGCTACATTAGAAGTGGAACATCTGGGATTCAAACAGGCACCCATGGCAGCTTTACCCACAATGCTGGTGCCAGCAAATACTTCTGACTTGACTGGATTCTGTACCAATCAACACCTAAGCCACGATGAAAACCTTAGCTTGGAAGGGGAGAATAAAGGACAGAGAAACTGATTTCCCTCCAGCAAAAGAGCCTGTTCCAACCTCACTATTAAACATTGTGATCTGTGTCCCAGCAAGCCAGAAAAGTGAGCAGTATCATCCTTTTTACAAAGAACACTATGGCTAAGTCATTTATCCCAGGTCACTGAAACAGCAGAGTAGTGTATCAACTAGAACCGAATCCTGCCACTGAAGCTGCCTGAACAGAATGACTTCACAATTCATCATTCCAAAGTACTGCTGCTAATAACTTCTCATTCTGCCTCCTCAAAATCCCAGACAATTCAAGTCGAGACACTGTTTCTTTGAAACAAATATGAAGATATAAAATAGCTGAATAAGATGAACACAACCAGAATTAATCCAACTGTGTTAATAATAAAAATGCACCCCTAACTGGTCACGTACATCTGGAAAGGGAGAAAGCTTCCCTCATGTATCCTCAGGTTTCAGAGAACTCTGTCCTCAAACCCATTTGTTGCTGACACCCATATACTCATATACTTGTACACTACATGGTTCTTACATATTTGTACATGTGATTAAGAAGATACTATACGTGAAAGTCCATGAAATGTTAAGTATTATACAGACACAGGGAAGTACAGCAACAGGCAGGAACACAGGGAACAAATTTTAACAATGACATAACTATTTAGTAAAGTCCTAGTAGATAAAAAACGTCTCATATGTCCTTATATAAACAATCTCATTGCTTTTAGTTATCAGGCAACTAGCAGATGTTTTTAAATGTCCAATCTGGTCAACAGTTACTTCTTAACATATTTCCCAATGGAAATCTGGACACAAACAACCCAAAATAAAAGCCCCACTTGGCAGTAAGATTAGAACTTGGCTTCCTCTTGGTTCATGGTGTTCATATTACCACATTAATGTAATAAATGTCACAAACCTTACCTTATCCTGTTTGTCACCAAAATGACTAAAATATCGTAGACTACAATTTGGGCTGGCTCCCTCAGGAGGATTCCATGTCCATATTATTGTGCACAGATTTTCAACAGAGACACTCAAATTTGTCACAGGTGGCTGAGTTTCTGTTCAAATCAAGCACAGAAATAAACATCAATTCCAGTGTAACACTTTATTCAATCCATTCTCAGAAATACTAGAGACCAAGCACAATAACAGCTGAGTAAACAACATCTTACATTCACTGAGTCAAGTGCTACTCTAAATATCTACATATACGGATCTGTTTAATCCTCAAGATGACCTTTGGCATATGAACTACTATAAGCACCATGTTAAAGATGAGATGACTGAGGTCACTTGCCACATATCACATGACTAGTAAACGAAAGACCAGTGCCAAGGTTACATTCTGAACTATACTCCCCTCCCTGCATTTCAGCAGGTGCTTAAATCCCTTAGATACAATTCTATAGTATTCTCATTTAACACACACATCATCCCAAATAATCTAAATCATCTCTGCATTATTTATAAAATCTAAAACAACAATTGCAAAAACCATGACAAGGAAAAGTTTGTATGTGTTCAGGACAGAATTCTTTTTTCAGATATCCCCTATCTGTAGTTGATTTAATTCACAGATGTAGGACTCAATCACAAGGATGTCTGTACTTGCTCTACTGTGGACACAGAGATGAGCACGTTCCTAAAGGCTAGTACCTCCAAGAAATCTGCACTTCCCACACTTGGGCCCCACTTCTTTCTCACGCATAAAGATATTTCAATCTCAGCAGTTCCGTGTTTAAGAAATTGATTTGGGGGGCTTGCACGGTAGCTTAGTGGCTAAAGCCCTCGTCTTGCATGAGCTGGGATTCCATATGGGTGCTGGTTCTAATCCCAGCAGTCCTGCTTCCATCCAGCTCCCTGCTTGTAGCCTGGGAAAGCAGGCAAGCACAGCCCAAAGCTTTGGAACCCTACATCTGTGTGGGAGAAATGGAGGAGACTCTGGGCTCCTGGCTTCAGATTGGTGCAGCTCCGGCCACTTGAGGAGTGAATCATTGGACAGAAGATCCTCCTCTCTATCTTTCCTTCTCTCTGTAAATCTGTTTTTCCAATAAAAATTTAAAAATTAAAAAAAAAAAGAAATTAATCTTGGGGACTGGCACAATGACTCAGTGGCTAAATCTTCACTCATACGGGCGCCGGTTCTAATCCCAGCAGTTCCACTTCCCCTCCAGCTCCCTGCTTGTGGTCTGGGAAAGCAGTGGAGGGCAGCCCAAAGCCTTTGGGACCCAGCACCTATGTGGGAGACCTTGAAGAAGCTCCTGGCACCTGGCTTCAGATCAGCTCAGCTCCGGCAGCTCTGGCTACTTGGGGAGTAAACCAGAAGGTGGAAGATCTTTCTGTTTCTCCTCTCTTCAATTTTGTATTTCCAATAAAAGTAAATTAATCTTTTTAAAAAAAAGATGTATTTATTTTTATTGCAAAGTCAGTATACAGAGAGGAGGAGAGATGGAGAGGAAGATCTTCTATCCATTGACTCACTGCCCAAGTGACTGCAATGGCAGGTGCTGCGCCAACCCGAAGCCAGTAGCCAGGAAACTCCTCCAGGTCTCCCATATGGGTGCAAGGTCCCAAGGCCTTGGGCCATCCTCCACTGCTTTCCCAGGCCACTAGCAGGGAGCTGGATGGGAAGTGGAACTGCCGGGATTAGAACCAGTGCCCATAGGGGATCCTGGCGCATTCAAGCCGAGGACTTTAGCTGCTAGGCCATTACACCAGGCCTGTAAATTAATCTTAAAAGAAACAAATTAATCTTGATTTATACTTGTTAATATGAACTGGTAACTGTTTTTATAGCTTTTCCAAAGAAGTACTGAGAAAGAGATTTAGCAGCCTTTGTTTTTCCCCTGAGGTCTGATCCTAAAAATTGGAGCTTTCCACTAATTTGAAGACGGAAGGGAAAGAAGATAAATCCAGAAACATCATTTCAAGCTTTCCTGAGAATTTTTAAGACCAGGATCATCAAATCATCCCCACAAAACTGGGCAAGGGATTGTATAGGAATTCTGTCTTTCCAACTTTTTCTGTAAATAAAAATTATTCCAAAATAAAGTATATTACAAAATTTTCAAATAATCTCCCACATGTTCTACAGTGGAAAACAGAATCATTTTCAAAGATTATAATTACAGAAATTTATAAAATAGTTAAATTTTATATTCTAAGCCAAACATTAGAGTACACTGGGGTCGCTTACACGATCAACAACAATGATATCTTTAGCTTCCTCTCTAAGCCAAAAATTCTGGTTTTTTCCCAAGCATCAACATATTAGGCACTGAATATTTGGAATTTCCCCAACAGTCAATATTATTGATAACAGCTATGTGGCTAGCAGCTTAAAAAGGCCCTAAATTTTCCAATATTCATTCCCATTCTTCCAACTGTACTTTTGAGTGCTCGCTTCTGCACCACATATACCAACTGTACTATGGAATCTTTTCCAAAGTCCCAACTGTAGGAAGGGGCATCCTAGAGCAAGACAAGGCCAGGCGGATGTAAAGATATTCTTAGTGCATCGAAAATCCAGCTAATGAGATGGATGTGTGGTGAAGAAGCACTTAAGTTGCCATTTGGAACACCAGCATCCCGTATCAGAGTGCCTGGTTCAAGTCCGGGCTCCTTTGCTTCCAGTTAATTTTCCTGCTAATGTACACGTTGGGAAGCAGCAGATTATAGCTCAAGTACTTGGGTCCCTGACATCCACATGGGTGACCTGAGTTGAGACCCAGGCTCCTGGCTTCAACCTGGCTCAGAAATTTGAGTCACCATATGGAAGCTTGCTGATGTTCACCTGCTCATTGTCTATCCCTTCCCATCCCTCTCCTACAATGAAAATTTTTAAAATCTGGCTATTACCAAGTAGCACAAATAGCTTAGGCACAGTATCATCTCTGGAAATTTAAGCAATGACAAGAGTACATAGCTATTTCATTTTAGCCTTTCTTATATGTCAATACTATGCTGGAAGACAATTTCTTAGGCAGAGCTTCCAACGTCTTCATTCCTACAAGACTATAACCAATTTTAAGACTACTGGCCTTATTTTGCAGTTTCTAGAAATGTAACAAAAATTTAGGAAATATGGATTGGTACTTTCTGATTTATTGCATTCCCATACAAAACTAAATGTCTTAACAATAAAACATCACTTCTTTATGGCTAACATCAACCGTATCCCAATTTTCAAGTTAATTCAAGACCTACTGAAACCAGTTTTTAAATTTTATTTACTTATTTTAAGAAGGGGGAGGGATATCTTCCATTCACTGGTTCACTTTCCAAATGACTATAATAGTCAGGACTGAGCTAGGACAAAGCCAGGAGCCTGGAATTCCACCCATATCTCCCATGTGGGAGATAGGGCTCTAACCACTGCTGTCACTCACAGTGTGCCATTTAGCAGGAAGTTCCATCAGAAGTAAAGTTGGGACTCAAAATCAGAAATTTTGATATGGAACACGAGAATCCCAGGCAGCAATTTAACTCCTGTGCCACTGTGACTGTCTCTTCTAACCTACTACTCTTTAACTTAATTTTGCAATAGAACAATAATCCAATCTCTCAAATGGAATTCATTTTGCTCATCTGATTTGAAATATTATTTAGCCAAGTATTTGCACTGGTTTGCATTCCATGCTACTTGGAAGTATTTACAATCCTTTTTTTTTCCAAGTGGTTTTCTCCATACATCTTTTTTTCTTTCAAAAGATTTGTTAGATTTTTAGTTTTTAACAGATTCAATATAGTTCATAGCTACAACTCTAAGAATATATTGAAATTCCCTTCTTCCCTCTCTTTCCTTAGTTTGTGAGATATTAAATTTATATCACAGTAAAAAGGCTTAATGTTTTACCAAATAAGATTAACAAGTAAAAACCAAAAAGACTTTAGTTTAGTGGGAATACAGACAATAGCTATAAAAAGAAGTTGAATATAGAAATGACCATTTCACCAGAAAATTTCACCAGAAAAATTTTAAATACCTACAACTTTGAAAACACACATTTTTTGGAAGATGGCAGAGTAGGAAGCACTAGGAATCTGTTTTTCCTCCTAGACAACAATTAATTGGCAAAATCTATGTGATGTAACTAACTTTGGAACTCTGGAGTCCAATCAGACACTTGTCAATTTCTAGAGGCAGGTTTAAACTGCAAATTGTGATTAACTTCAATCAATTTCAGCTTTTTAAAAACGTTATTTTTTATTTGAAAGGCAAAGTTACAGAAAGAGAAAGACAGGCAGATCTTCCATCTGCTGGTTCACTCCCCAAACGGCTGTAACAAAGTCAGTTACAGTTCAAAGTCAGGAGCCAGGAGCTTCCTTCGGGTCTCCTAGATGAGTCCAAGAGCTCAAGCATTAGCAGAGAACGGGACCAGAACTGGAGCAGGGACTGGAATCAGCACCCATATGGGATGCTGCCACCACAGATGGCAGCTTTACCGGCCATACCACAGTGCTGGCCTCTCAATTTCAGCTCTTAGTACAGTAGTAGTCATCCATCCAACAGTCTCAATTCCACTACAAGAACTCTTGCACGTGGTCTTTGGAAACGCCTGTAAGAGCCAGGGTGAGCAGAAAGAACTTTGTCCTCCAAGTATTAGTGATCTGTAATCTGACTGGCCACTGTTGCCGCAGTAAAATGGCTAGTGGTCCTTGCAGTATCAGCACCAGTGTTACAAGCACCTCCCCAAGCTGAAGTGATTTTCAGGGGACTTAAAGAACTGGCGCTCTTCCCTACTCTTCATTTTCTTTCTTTTCCTCTTTTGAGAGCTAGACAATAAAGATTAGGGCCTTCAAAATCAACTGTATGTATAGGAACAATTAGAAAGTAACCACGCATGCCACTGGTCTTACCACAAGCTGTTCAACACAGACAGCCCACAGCAATAAAAATAAACAAAAACAGTAATGAGATATACCCAGAAATGCTAGAAAATGGGGAGAACTTGATTTTTTCGGGTTAGCACACATTAGATTCAGATGCCGAGTTTTCAACAACAAAAAAACTTGGCATTTAAAATATATATATATATTATATACATATTCATGTGTA